GGAGAAAAGAGACAGATAGGACGTCGGTATAAGTCACAGTTATGATTTCACAGATTCGAGACAGCTTGATAGCCCGAACGGCCCCAGGCTTTCGCCCGTGCATGCTAAGTGACTTTCATTACAAGCATTTAGCTTTCCGAAGTCTATGACAACAATTGTTTGGCATTGACGGGCGCGAATTTCGTGCCAATAAGCTGCCTCGACTTGTTCGATTATGTTATCAACTCAATTTCTTATTTATTTTCACATTTTCACTTCGCGGTCCTTCTCTGTTCTTTTTTTGTTATTTACATGTGTAGGTCATTTCATTGTTATACACATTTGATATCATCATTTATCACATACTTCCATGACACTCTTGTCTGTCTGCTACAACTGCCAAGAATTAACGCGATTGGCGAAGCGTAATGACAGCGGACCAATAGAGAGCAAGATCCTTGCCATAATGCGGTTGCGCGCCAATTTTCGTACGTGCGTTAATCAGGCCAAATATTCGGCTATTCGGCCATGCTCCTGGCCGAATTTTCGGTATTCGGCCTGAGGCCGAATATACTATTCGTTACAACACTATTAAAAAATAATTTGTGCTAAATTATAATTATACAGAAGTACTATGTAGATGACTGTGCAGAAAAGATCTTTCTGTTCATTTATATCACTTACTCTTAAGCAAGAAAAACTAAAAGAATAAATTTAAATTTTTTTTTGATTTACAAATAGAAAAGGCTAAATTAAGATATAATAAAATAAAGACACTGAGTTCAGCATTACATACAACACTGAACTCAGTGTCTTTATTTTATTATACAATATTTTGGCATGATAGTCATCCTATTGATTACTAAATTAAGATAATTTAGGTGAAACATTTTATTAGCCCATTATTCTAGATGTAAAGAAGAGTTATCTGCATCTTCCCTATTCCTAATAAGATCAGCAAATCCTAATGTCTTTGAAATAAAATTTTCCACTAGTTCATTGCATAGTCAGAATTATATAATGATTTATTCACCAATTAATATGGATATTGAATTGCTTGTTTTAACAGGATGATATTTCACATGTTGAAACAATAACAAAAGTTTGAATTTACTGTATTTAAAGTTTTAGTAATAAATTATTAATTCTTATATTAATTTTTAATTAAGTTTTTAAACCAAAATAACTTATTTCATTTTTTTCAATAATGAGTTCTTTTAACTTTAAATACATTATGATGAATAAATCCAATTTTGAATTTAAGGAATACTGTCTTATTTTTAATATGATTAAGTACATATTTTATGTTAATGAATTAAATTATTATTAATAATTAAATAAATGTATTTATATTTCATAAATTATTCCTTTACATGTTTAATATTTAATATATACATTTATAGAATATTTGGATTTCCAAGCCATTATACTGATGTTGGAAATATTCAATTGTCACGTCGTCAGCAGCTATTAGGAAAAGCATGGAGTGTTCCAGTCATCCGACATTTATTTACTTCACTAAAAAATTTTTTTAAAACTGTAGCAGTATTTAAAAGTGCAGAAAAGGCAAGAGATGAAGATATTTTATCTGATTAAATGTAAAACATTATATTTATAATGTTCATGTCTGTTACCATCAGCCATTGCTTTTTTCATTGTTGTGAAGTCTTTTACACAAACTATATATTTTTTAATTAGTTGTTTTATTATATTATTTTGACCATTTGAATATTTTTACTATTTTAGTAAAATGGACTGTTTTAAGATTTGGAAAATATTTCCAATTAATTTGGAAAAATTAACTACATTGTTAAGAATGAAAATGAAAGTTCTTAGAAAAATTCTTGTCATTGATAAATATATTTATTTATATACAATTTGATTTCACTATTTTTAATAGTGAAATAATTTAAATTGTGTATATATAATAAACTATATATTTTATAACATAGAGTTCAAATATACAAGCCAAATCACTGCCATTATCATCATGTCAAATCATCTGATGTGATTTTATGATGTTAAAGATTGCCCCATCTTTAATAATTAAGATATATCTTAGAATTAAATGAAATAATTGTGATATTTTTTAATGACCTAATCAATGCAGGATAGCTAATGGTAAATAAAATATAAATACCAGTCACAATATTTAAATATTATAAAAGTAACAATCTGCTTCCTAAAAGAAATAAAGACACACAGACAACCATTTTAATGTAAATGAGGCAATTATAATATTTCTCTGACACTGAACATTAGAAGAGTATTGCAATTGTTTCTCTTACATTAATGTGGTTGTCTATATATCTTCTTTTAAGAAGCAAATTGTTACTTTTCTCTTTATTATAATTTTTGTATAACACTTCTAATCTCATATTTTCAATATTATCTATAAACAACTTTTGTTAAATATATTGTGTGTTTTAACCTAACTCTAAAATGTTTGAATAACAGGTCTTTATTTCATTGTATAATCTGAACGAAATACTATTTCTTAGGAAATTTTATTTATTAGTCAATATTTAGATAATCTATACAATATTTTAAATAAATACATATGCATTTATATAATTGTTAATAAGGTACCTGTGTTCAGTGATGTCTACAGAGATGATTAGTAGCCCGAAAAAAACCAAATCTGATATGGTGTCATTTTGGGATATGCAGAAGATATTTCAGTAAAAAGTAAAATTGTTCCTAAACTCACCATTATGGGCACTTCTCACCTTTGGCACTTCAAGCAGGCAAAAAAAAAACTTGGTGCAATATCTTAAGATGTCATAACTTTTGAAGTGCACTTACAGCATTGGCATTGTTTTCGTAAAACAGCAAAAAAGGCATATTCAAGCATGATCATGACCATTGTTACCAATCTGTATTAATAAGAATGGTATTTCACATGCCATAGGCAGTAAAGCCACACTAACTGCCGTATAATTATTAATATGGATTATCATATTTTACAGCATGTAAGATTCATTACCATAAAGCCATAGCAACTACCGTATAATATAGGGCTATATCGCCTGAATATAGCCTGATATTACATGACAGTTGCTGTGGCTTTATGGTAATGAATCAGGTTTTGGAAGATATTTGCCATAAGCATTTCAAGAAGTTTTCTATATCAAATGTGCATTATGCATATGCTATGCATTATTTATTTATTTATTTATTTATTTCCTCCTATTTGTAGCATCACAAGTTCTTTAATTGTGAGTTTCAGAACTAAATTTTTTCCTGTGGAAATTCTTCTGCATGTTCAGAAACATGCAGAATTTTTACACTGCAGCATACAAAATTTGGTTGCATTCGGACTGCTACATATCCCTCTAGACAGCATTGAATAGAGTAATTTTAATTATGATCACTCTTTGTAAACCACATATCATCTGGAATTGTAATTCTAGAAAGCATGGAATAACATAGATAGTTTAGTGTATATATTATAACTTATATTGAAACATGAATCTTATTTGAATGTGTTTGGAAATTATTAATATGGATTATCTTATTTTACAACATGTAAGATACACTCTATCATTTCAGCACAGAATATTTAGGAAAAGTATTTAGTGTATTTAAACCATCCCACACCCACACCTTTGCCACATAGCTCCAAAGTTATTTTCTGTATTTTGATTTTAAAAGTAAAATCAGAATGCACACTTTTATTTATCAGGGAAAAAGAGGAATTTAAAATAATTTATTTACATTTAAAATATTCTATATGAATACATGTAAACGCTGCTTAGCTATAGCAACAAACAAATACACCTAGCTATATTTGTTTTATTATGATCATTATTTGTTGTACTGAGATGTCCATACTATGGGAAGCACTCGAAAAACAGAAAATGTCAGCTGTTCATAGATGTGACTAGCAGTCTCTGTAGCATACACTGCTAAAGATGGTGCTGTTAATAATAATATGTTTAATTAAACAAGAGCATTTTTATTCAAGAGTTTGGCTGTAGCTTGCCATTAGTGAAAGCCATTATGGGAATTCATTAGCCTACAGGAGATCATAATTTTACATATAAATGCAGGGTAATTTCCCTCCCCATCTTATATGCTGTAAAATATGGTATTTGTTGAAAATTAGAATTATATAACTCTTCAAATTTACACAATACAAATTTTTTATAATCATGTACTGTACAATAGAATTCACTTATTATAATCATATTGTTATCAGTTATTTAATGTTACTAGATTTAGTATGTCTCAAAACTTGTAAATTAAAATTCTTATGAAACTTTGCATATTGTAATGAGAATTTTGGTTATGGAGAATGCATACATGTGGACAGAACAGTAAAACACCTATAAAAATCTCAATGCCGTCTTTGGAAAAGCAGCCACACATGTGGCTAGTCTTGTTTTTTTTTTTTTTCTTTGTAGGAATTTGTAGATGTTTATGAACTTTTTTTAGTTTTCTACATTAAGAACTGTTTTGAACTTTCCAACATGATCTTTGGAAAAGCAGCCACACATGTGGCTAGTCTTGTTTTTTATTTTTTTTGTAGGAATTTGTAGATGTTTATGAACTTTTTTTTAGTTTTCTACATCAAGAACTGTTTTGAACTTTCCAACATGATAAAGTATCATGTGGTGTCCATTCAAAATGTCAGATCACATGCAGCAATGTTTCTAGTGGTTGTTTTATGTATCTACTGAATTTATATCTGCGTGTATGCATCTGCTTTTGTAGTTATCATTCTCTTGAAGTAAATAGTCATTTTTAATACTTTTCATACTGTCACTTTCTTTTCATACTTGTCACTTCTTTTTCATACTGTCACTTTCTTTTCATCTTGTCACTGTCTTTTCATACTGTCACTTTCAATCTAAGGCTGATAATGCACAATTGTTATCATTGTCTATCTTAATTGGTGGTTTTAAAAGTTAAATATTAGTCATTTTAACCATTATTTGCTCACAATACAGTAGTTTGAATTACTGGCATGTCTTACTTTAATTATACCTTGGATGAATTAGTATTAATAATAATAAAGCTAATTAAAATCTTTCAAATTATACATTTTAAATTGTTTTAACATGGCATGTCCTTTTAATGTTAGAACCAATAAAACCAGAATTTCCATTAAATTAATAGTCTTATTTACTTACCCTGCTTGCTTTTATCAGTTGGTTATTTTCAGTACAGGCAAATCTCAACATAATTACAATAAGTGGATTCTATTGTATTAATCAAGAGAGAGAATTTTTTAAATTATTAACAACAATAAATTAATGCTTATAATAATTAGTATCTTAATAATTTTTATACTTGAATTAAATGAATATAAAATTCAAAATTCTTTTACTCCATGATTTCATGGCATTCTAAAATTATTGTAATTTAATAAAGTAACAAGTTTTTATTTAATTTAATTTTTTTTATTTTGACCAATCCAATCTTATTTATTAATCAGTAATAGGGTTAATTTATGTTTGTGCTGTTAAAGTTTTCCTCTACTACAATTTACAATTCATATTTGCAAGAAACAGTGCCATAAGACCAACTAAAATAAAGTAAAACAAACCATATTCAAGAAACCAAAAAGTTTACTTTATTTTAGTAAACTGGTTATCAATGTAATTTTAATTTAAATTTTTAATTTCCTTTTTTTCATTAATAATAACAGCTTTTGTACAATTTATTGCAATGTTTTTACTGTAGAGAACAATACAGTCATTCTTCAGTTGAAAGATTGTTTATTTTACTTTTTTATGAAAATCCGACCTTTTTTGCATTCCAACCATACCCCCAAGTCTCAAAGGTGCCGGATTAGAGGGGTTCTACTGTAAGATTTAAATATGATATTTATAAAACATTCTATAACAGTATTAAAACTGTTTTTATAAATTGAATTTGAGCATACTGTTCCTATGTATTGTTGTTCTTTGNTAAATTTTTAATAGAAATGATTATAGGAAAAAGAATTATGCTGTCATTTCAAAATTTATCATTAGTTTTTCCAACTGATGATAAATACACTGTATTCAGCAGAATCATTAGATAACTTACAAATATCTGCAGTAACAGATTGTACAGGGTTACCACACTATATAATCAACAAAAGTGTCTCCCCAGCCAATTATTTAAAAAACTAATAGGACAATCACTGTAGACCTTTTTATGATGTATACCAAGTTGGGCATGCACTAATTGGCAGTCCAAATTTTCATCCCCTACACCTCTTCTATTGGAGAGGACTGGCATAGAAGTACATCACTGTATAACATGATTGCAATGCAGGTGGTTGACTGTGCAGTTAAGTTTAGGTTAACAATGATATGGATATGCAAATCATCCAATTGAACAGAAAATATAAAACACCTTTAAATAAAATGTACAAAACACTACAAATGTACTGCCATTTATTAAATATACTCAAAATGTTTGCCTTCAGCAACAATGCATGCTTGTACTTTTCCAATAACAGATTTATAAACAGCTATTGTCATGTCACAGATTAGAAGAGCACATGCAATACATTTTTGATCATCAATTGTGTGCTAACCGAGGGGGCTGAAGCGGAGAGCTTCTCCCCACTTACCGGCTTGGCTATAGGAGGGCTAAAGGAGTGGGAGGCGTAATGAAGTCGTGATGAGATGTCAGTAGTACTTAACAAGAGACATTAAATTAGGAATAACATATTTAATATAAACATAAAAATAATACAAATACATTAAAATTCCACATTAATTCTAAACAATATGTAAGCGATAAATATAATAAATTCCGAGTCGCGACAATATCGGACAACTGATGTCCGTCTATCCTGTAAGTGGGACCGTCGAAGGTTCTCGACACACAATACTTCTAAGACCTATCAAAAGGTATAGAACAAATAATTTCTAAGTCCTGAGTAAGTCAAGAGACAATATGATCTAAGTCCCGAGTATACCGAGAGACAATAATTTCTAAGTCCCGAGTATTCCGAGAGACAATATTTTCTAAGTCCCGAGTATACCGAGAGACAATAATTTCTAAGTCCCGAGTATACCGAGAGAGAGTGAAGTAAAAACAATCTAAGTATTTACCTCTTTAGGTCGGCGATCAGAAACCTTGAGGTCCTTCCAGAGTAGACGCTTGTAGTCTTCTTTCTCTGATGATCGCCTCGAGATCTCGGATCATTCCCCTTTTATACTTTTTTAGCGTGGGAAATCTCGGGGACTCCTCTGACGCAATCTGTCACTTCTCCCGATTTATGACAGTCTCCCCCGTCATGGGTGACGACAATGCAGACATCGCTTGACCAATTAATGTTAAACTCGTCATCACCTGGGGAGATGACTGACCATTTTTGGTAATGTTCTCACCGTAAGGGTGCCCTTGTAGGTGACCTCTTGTCTACTCTCCATGCAAGAACACATGGTTGTCTTTTGCGGTCTAGCCAATTAGTAAAATAGTGCCATATAGTAGTCTCCTGGGGAGAGGGGTGTTCTTCCGCGGTCGCCTCAGAAGACTTCGTCCGTCAAGAAGGTCATCCCTAGAAACTACGCAGTTCGCTGTCCGGTGTCTATTCTTCGAACAATGGGGTGAGAACAGGAGAAATAATGGAAATGATGATGAAAGAAATATATAACTTCGTGCTGTAGTTAATTAAAATTCTCATACGATAGTCAGATTTTCACAATTGCATTCAGTGGCTCTGTTTTGTAAATCTTCAACTTCAGAAAGTCCCACTAGAAAAATTCCATGAAATGTAACGTCTGGAGACCTTGATTGACAATTCACAGATCTATTCCAACCTACTCACTGCTGTCCAAACTTGACATTAATCCAATCCCACACTGCGTGAGTGTTATATGGTGGAGTTTCATTGTGTTCAAACCATATGATGCACAAATACTATAATGGCAGGTTTTCTATGTTACTGTACCATTAATACTGTACCAACATAAAATCTGTTCTGTATAAAATACAAGATTAATTTTGTTCTTGAGATCAAGGCTTTTAAAGGATTTTTTCCTGGATCTTTAGCTTTCCAATTGGTTGGTTTCTTGTATCCAGGTTGATAACAGATCATTTCAGTCTACAAAGGGTCAAATTCGACATCACATTTTATTTACTCAAGGGAAGTTAATCACACTTTGAAACTCCTGCTCGTATTTAACTATAGTTTTCGAATTCTTGTAAGTCTGGCACATAATCTTTGTACTAGATCTCCTTTTAAGGTTATTTAAAAAAAAAAAAAAACTTTTTTCTCTTGACTAAAATATTTATATTCTTTCCTGTTTTTATTTATGTTTTTCTTCCAGTTTTTATAAGTGTTCTACTGCATTTGCACACAATCCACGACTCACTTTGATATCGATTGTAACTGTCGCCAGTTGAATGTTGAGCTGTTTGCACAGGCAGTCCACTTGAGAAGAACCTGGCTATTGTACGCGATGATATAACTGACATAACTACGTGGTAAGTCACAAATACCAATAAACAAAAGGAAGTTTTGGTTAGAAATAAATACTTTTTCTTGCCATACATCTAAGAATAGCCAGATCTCATCATCTTTTTTATTTCTCTGTTGATAGCCCGACACTTGTTCCACAGCCATCTTGTTTTTTCTTGCATGCATGGGATTGTGGGAACTCTCTTATGACTGGATCTAGTTTCAAAAACTCTCTTTTGTCAATTGCAATTAAACTTTGTTTCAGTCAAGATTAACAGTCGAGAGATCACACCACGGCACAGTTGCCAATCATTTTACAATTTAGATTGAAATGCTCAGTGTAAACGGGGTATTATAATCAAAGCTTGATCTTCTGATTTGATACTTTTATTAAATTTTTAACACATGATCTTGAGTCTTGCTCAAGATTGCATGTTCAACCACTCCCACATTGCAATCATATTATGCAGTGATGCACTACTACCTCTCACATTTACAGTGAACCATTTATCTGTCATATATGACAGCTATTCCAAGATTTTACTTGATATTTCAGAATGAACTAAGATGCAATAGTATGTATTTTTTCATGTGCTGCAGCTTTGTAATTGACACGCCTATTTTCATTAGGGGATGAGATTACACAGTCTTTTCAATAAGCAGACTGGAGGAGGCAGAAATCTGGACTGTCATTTAGTGCATGCCTGGCATAGTATACATCAGCAAAAGNGACTCCTCTGACGCAATCTGTCACTTCTCCCGATTTATGACAGTCTCCCCCGTCATGGGTGACGACAATGCAGACATCGCTTGACCAATTAATGTTAAACTCGTCATCACCTGGGGAGATGACTGACCATTTTAGGTAATGTTTCTCACCGTAAGGGTGACCCTTGCAGGTGACCTCTTGTCTACTCTCCATGCAAGAACACATGGTTGTCTTTTGCGGTCTAGCCAATTAGTAAAATAGTGCCATATAGTAGTCTCCTGGGGAGAGGGGTGTTCTTCCGCGGTCGCCTCAGAAGACTTCGTCCGTCAAGAAGGTCATCCCTAGAAACTACGCAGTTCGCTGTCCGGTGTCTATTCTTCGAACAATGGGGTGAGAACAGGAGAAATAATGGAAATGATGATGAAAGAAATATATAACTTCGTGCTGTAGTTAATTAAAATTCTCATACGATAGTCAGATTTTCACAATTGCATTCAGTGGCTCTGTTTTGTAAATCTTCAACTTCAGAAAGTCCCACTAGAAAAATTCCATGAAATGTAACGTCTGGAGACCTTGATTGACAATTCACAGATCTATTCCAACCTACTCACTGCTGTCCAAACTTGAC